CCTTCTGTAACATTTTGAGTGCCTCCGAACACGAAATTTCATTGGCGATGCAAAATTTAAGACAAACTCTTTGTTCGATGTTTTTGTCCATTATGAAATTCGCAATACACACTAGATATTATAAAACTAAAAACAGCACTGTTTTTAATATAAATAACAGATGCAACTCAAATTCCGCGCCAAAATGGAAAACAGTTATGCCAATCTAACAACAACAAAAAAAATTAAAATTCGAATTTGGAACCATAAAAAAAACATTCATTCCCGATACTTTGTTGACTGAATGTATATAGGACTAGGTAAATGGTAAAAGAAAACATCGTGAGGAAACATGGACTTTATAAGTTTAAAATCGCCTATCCGCCTTATGCAAGCGTGATGATTAATTCTCAAACCTTTTCCGTGTGAAAAAAGGGCTTTGCTCAGTTGTGGGCACACTAGAATGTGTTTAAATATAGCATATTACATAAAGATTTGCTTGCGGGAATGCTAACGCAGAGTTTCATGCAAATATCCCAAAAAGATAATATTCCAAGCATCCAAGTGGCTAATGGCATGTTTATTTTAGGTTAATTTCCCAGTCTGGTTGTTTTAAGCTTGTCTATACTAATATTATAAAGAGGTAAAATTTGTAAGTTTGTATGTAGGGGTAATCTTTGGAACTGCTGGTCGGATTGCCAAAATTCTTTCACTGATAGATAGCTACAATATTCCTGAGTGCTATATATAGGCTATAAAACATCACGCTACGATCAAATGGAGCCAAGCAGCGGGTGAAACCGCGCGAGAGTAGCTAGTCTGCTACTATATAGGTAATCACGAGGTGTACGATTACATGAACAAAGAGCGATATTTACAAATATTGAGTTAGTGAGAGTGTAAGAAACAGAGCTTGTTCCTTTAAAATGCACCCTATCATTCCATACCCAAGTATCCAAGATACATTTTGCTTGATGCTTATCTTTAATTTTTTAATAGATTTTTCGGCTAGTTCACGATATTCTTTTGTTTCAACCTACATCACTACATAGTATAAAACGCCCCTTTATACCTATGAACGCTTAAATGTTTAAAAACATGCAACGGATTTTGATGCAGTTTTGTGTAATAGATGGAGTAGTGATCGCAGAAGAAGGTTTATAATTGGCCGTGCGAAGCCGGGGCGGGTCGCTATAATATATTTATCATGTACTAACTGTTAGTCCCGAGGGAACTACTTCACGTACCCGAATAAAATATAGCCTATAGCACTCAGTAACATTGTAGTGGTCTATTAGAGGCTTAAAGTCGCTCAGCGAGCACTGGAGAGAGCTATACTTGGAGTTTGTATGCGCGACAAAATCCGCAATGTCGAAATTCGCCAAAGAACCGGAGTCACCGACATAGCTCTTAGAATCTGCATCTATTAGCGAAATAATTTTGGAAATCCGACCAGCAGCGGTTCCAAAGATTATCCTCTACCTACAAACAAAATTTAAATTTTATTACGTCTTTATAAAATTAGTAATAATATAACTAAGTAAAGGCAAACAATGGATATTGAAATACCCCAACGTACGGCGCCTGCGCAAGAAAGTATGGTACCTACTTACTTATCTATAGTTCTCTGCAGGGCGGCCAACGCATCCCTGCAATACTGACCGTACCACAGTGTAAATAAATAGAGAAAAGTATGGTAACTGTCTAGAAACGCTCGAAATGGCGCACTCACACAAACATACGCATTTACGAGAGCTCTAAGTGATAGTATAATTAATAATATTTATACTGTGACCGTACGTCACGTGCGTTTTGCTAAACACGAAACGAAACAATACATTGTGTATGTATAACGTAATAAAAATAAAACAAATCGGGTTATTGAATCTCCTAATTATTCCTGATATACAGAAAAGAACTTTTTCTTTATTAGTGATCGATGACTTAAGTATATGAAATTCTGTATATCAGGAATAATTAGGAGATAGTTACAGGACTAGATACTACTTACTACTAATACGGTAGTTTCCAAATAGTCAATACTTAAATAACACTCCAAATTATGACATCATAGTATTTTTGCGACAAGTAGCTTACTTTTATTATTAACTAGCTAGTCTCACGCGGTTTCACCCGCTGCTAGGCTCCATTTAATAGAAGCCTGATGTTTCAATAGCCAATAGCACTCAGGAACATTGTAGCTATCTATCAGTGAAATAATTTTGGTAATCCGACCAGCGGTTCCAAAGATTACCCCCACCATACAAACTTACAAATTTTACCTCTTTATAATATTACTATAGATCTATTTTTGACCTAGGGAACTACCCAATTGTAATGCTGAATGAATCCTAAACTGCCTAAATTGCTTTGGATATTTCTGTGCTGTGGGTGGTGTAAGCTTACTACGTATATGATTGTTATGAAACATGACTTTGATTTCTTTTATTTCATGTCGCATTCTGGTTTCCGTCGAGGTAATGGCGGCCGGCAACAGTGCATCGAGCCTCCGGACGCCCCCAGCATCCCCGCTTCGGTATCTTACAATTATATTGTACGTTCGGCGTCCTTCGTTCGGGTACTTCAATGACCATTATTTGATTTTATTTCAGCTGTACTAGATATCTATTATATAGAAATAAACGATTGTATGTAACTGTCTTAGTACTTACTTATCTATTATTATACTACAGATTTATATTTTTGTTACCCATAAAAATGTGTAGGTACCTACATATATTCTCAGGAAATACCTATTAGATAAGAATAACCAGGCGAAGTTAAATACAAACCAACATAACATAAACTTTCCTAAAATTATCATGAAATTATTTTTGGTTGATTTTTTATTTAATTATAAGTAAATAAAAATTCAACCAAAAATAATTTCATATAAATTGCTTAAGTTAAGTACCTTTATGTTTTGTGTTCCAAAACACACTGCCACAGTTTCTCCTATCCTTTAAAGGTAAATGGTATATGAGAGAACAACAGTTCGAAAACAACCCGACATTTGTTTGTGCATTAGAACATATTTGTAGTTGACCATTTTCCTAAACTTAACCAGTCATTTCTTTATATGGTATTGTTGCTATTTTAATTTCAATTAAGTATGTAAGATTTGGATTATTTTTGATTTCATTTGCTCCGAATGAGAAAGGTGTACATGGGTGTACTTAGGTAGGAAAGACAGTTGCACATGAATGTGTGGCGTTCTGGTGCCTTGAAATGTGCATCACCCTACACCGGGTACAAGTAAATAATACAGATGTGAAATAGCGATAAGTTAATAAAACTTTCTATTCTACTGCTGTACTTAAACCCAGTTATAACATGTTTACTCTAAAATTTCAAAATGTCCGTCGCGTCGTGCTGTTTATGTAGATGGTCCGCTGTCTGTCTGTCGTTTCAGGTAAAGTTTTGGACAATGGCCACCCGATTGTTTCAATCGGCCCTTCCTATGTATTCGTGTGAGACAGAGAAAAAATACTTACTTAAATTTTTTCCAAAGGATATAATGTATAGCTTTGTTTCTTTCTAACAACCAAACGCTAGCGTTTGTTTGATTGGAGTTGCTCAGGGGTTTGTTTTTCATGTCCGGGTTCTGCCTATAAAATATACTTACTTACATTTTATTTACTGATTTACAAGAACACGTACAATTTTACAGCTTACACCAATAAATACATTATACAGTCAAGAAAAAAAATAGGTAATTGTAGATAGTTATGTATAGTAATAACTCCCAGATCGGTCGGTTATACGTGCTCTGCAGCTACCTTCGAACCTACTACCTTAAGGTATAAGGTTTACTTATGCCTAATATTTTAATGAACTGCGATGAATGCTTAACTAAAGAATTAATAATGAAAATAATATATGAACAATTGCATAGATTATTCTTAACATAAGAAGGTCATAAAGTCTTAGGAATAATATGGAAGAAATATAAGTTAGTGATAGGATGACGAGGATACGATCATAATGAAGAGACATCGTCTGTTTGCCTGTATTAGGCTACACCTTATGACATGGTTCTCATCTAATGTTAAATCTGAAAGGTGGCCATCGGGACTTCGCAATGAAATCAATAACTCGATATATAATTTGGACTCGTTTCTTCATGACTAGTAATTTAAAAGGGTCTGGACTCCTGGAGCTTAAAGATGGCCAAATGAACTCGGTTATTCAATGAAATCAGCTCTTCGATTTTGATTTAATTTTGAAGAACTTTGTTTTGCAATGGGAAATAGAGTTTGATGATCGAGATGGAACTTGGTCATAGGAAACACTGTAATGAAAGGAAGTAACCCCACCGACCCTTAGATTACTTACTTCGATTTGACGGGTATAGCAATTCTACAATTGGTTCAGTAGGAACTTACCTAAGTGTTCGACAGGTTATATAAAGCTCCATTTTTGATTGATAGTGATTGCTTATTTGATAGACGTGCATATAAACCTATAAGGTACTTGTGAGTTGTGAGAATAAACCAAAAATCTTCAAGAAAGAGAATAAATCAAGAATCTTTTAACTTATAACGTAATTACCCCTTCATCAGATGAATAATTCTTCGGCAAAAACAATGAAACACGGTTAAATATAATTTGTTTCCGATCAAATAGAAATTATCTTTTAATTTAGTCGTATTTATCTACTATATACTATAAAATAGTTTTAAATTTTGTCTGATCTGTTAATGGCGGCGTTTAGAAAACTTTCATTTAAGATTATATAGTGCAAACTATGTTTTGCTTTCGTAGTTGGCATTGGGACCAAGTCTATTGTCCATCGATATGTTCGGACACAAACTGATAATTTCTGTAGAAAGGGATGCTATTTGCAGGTACTTACCCCACCCCGTAATAATTGTACGCGTGGGAGAGGGACGGATTAGCCAGCCATTTTTTTTGACCCATTGTAACTAGGCAGGGCTAGTTTAAATAGCAGTACTTTAACTTTGAATTCCGGCATTACTCTCCGTGAATTCACTGTGAGCAGAACTACCTTCTCTAAAATAATGGAAAACAAAAATAACTCAACGTTCTCTGAAGAGGAAATGTTCGTTGCCGGGGCCCTCCTAGAACTGCGGGAAGGTAATCAGCAAGAAGGTGAGATTAATTACTTAATTATTTTTGTGCTAAATATTTCCGTGAATGTTCGAGGCCGCGCGTTTTTTAGATTAATTTTCAGTAGGTACTTAGCTATGCGGTACTTTGACATTGACTTTATGGTACATCGGGTGCTATACGAGTCTATACTAAATGGAATAAGGCGGGTCGTAAATAACAATGAGTCCGCAAACGGAAGGATTCGGGTCCATAAACAATATGGGCGCCGACGCCATCTTAAGGGCTTAAATCGAGAGCGCGGCGTCTATCTGTTTCATACCAATTTTCAGCCAAATTGGTTCAGCTGTTCTTGAGTTATGAATAGTGTCACTAATACGACTTTTTTTTATATAATTTAGGGGATACGTAACTTTTTTCCTACTTAGGTATACTTTTTATATAAATAATGATATTTTCTGAGCTCACAAGTAACTCCCGTAGGCTCCTAAAAGAATATGTCAGAAGTCTTATAGGTAGGGTATTAAAGGATGAGTGTTTGTCTTCTGAAGTGTCCACTTCACCATCGTCGTTGCAATACAGATCGCTTGAGTGTTAAGTCGCTTGCTGAAGCAAGATGGCGGCTCTTCATGAAGAACGCGAACGTTGACAACAGCTTTAAAGTTAGTCGTCAATAGGAACTTGATAAGTTGGTGTTAGGTCTCTTGCCGTCCCTAAGAAGGAACAATCATTTTTATACATCGCTTGAAAATCAGTTAGAGGAATTTTAAAATTGTGGGTTCAAAATGCAATTTTTTGGACATAGGTACTGTCATTATAATTGGCAATTTGAAGGCATTGTTCTCCGAAACGCTCGTAATTAGGCGTATTCTGCAATTCGATTTTGAGTCTAAACGAAGTCGTCTGACTGAGCGATATTCAAATATATCATAGTTGTCTACGGTTTATTTGAATATTGCTACTTTAGCCAGACGCAGTTGGGATAGGGTGGGCGACGAACACAAAGCAATCGCTTCAAGCCGTTGCTTGATGCGCGGCGTCTGTCGGAACAACAAAACAATATGGACGACGACGCTGACCACAACATTACTCAACTGCGTCATTTTACCGACACCCTAAGTATTATTTGCCTATTATTACTCCCGAAAACAGCAAAAAAGTAAAATGGGTACTGAATTTATCAAGTGATTTTCAAGAATGTAGTAGATGATACATAAAAATTGTCTATGTACCTTCGAACAAAGACTTTGAAATACCCGTTAGCATTTTGTTTTTTATATTTGTAAATAGTAAATATAACAGTTGCCCCACATTAGGATTTTTTGGAACCATTGGAACAATTTCAACCACACTCCCAGACCCGGAAACACAATTTATAGATCGTACAAATAATTCATTGTTTCGTAAGAGGAATGAACCCGAATAACGCGCCAATCATGTGGTGTGAAGTGCATACAATGTTAAATTTATTCTAATAAGTTCCTACATCTTACATATAGGTACACTTATGTACTTAGTATAAACATAGTTCTAATATTGGTTAGTTAACTACATATATAGTTGCAATAACACATGACGATGGTCTAACTTGCTCTAATCTAGCAGAGCGTGCGAGTCGCGGTCATCGCAAACTCCTATCGCTAAGTGCGTCTAAGCAAAATGGCGGCCAGCCACCAAGTCGCGGTTCGGTAACTGACAGAGTTAACATCCTATAGAACCAACTCGAAGACTAACTGATAGACCACTATCGAATGCAGTACGATCGAACTAAATCTGGGAAAGTGGTCTGTCTGTCAGTTTGTCACGGTCTGTCGTCCATCTTGTTAATATTTAGGTACTGCAGATGGCGGGCCGTTTGCTTCTCAGAGTGCCACTCGATAAGCTTGTCTTTGTCTTTGTCCAGCGCTGAATACAACCGTTTCATCTCATACAAGTGCTCACGCAAATATAAATGTGTGCATCGATTATGATTATAGGATTATATTTAAGGAGCCTAGTTGTATACAGTCAGTCCAATTGTTGAAGGGTGGTTCTTCTAGATTTATGTACTTTGACTGCAATAATAGTTAGCCATATTAATGGTTTACTTTAATAGCCAGCCTTACTTAACTGGAATCGGGCGGGCCTCCTGTCGTAATGAAATCGCTTCAAGCGATTAGCGGTTGGAGTCGCGTCTGTCGGGGCCATAAACAATATTATTATTGCCTAGATCGTCCACAAAAAATATATAAGTACCCGTATTTGTTTGAAATAGGTTTATTTCAAACAAATATGGGTACTTATATTCTCTAACTCTAGCGTTTTTTCCTGTCGTGGATGCTTTTAAAAACATCCAGATCAGTAACGGGAGTTAGATTCGTAGTGTAGGTACTCCTCATTAAACGTCCATCAGTTAAAAGCATGGGCCTTACGCACGACGTGGTATTCAATTTTTTTACGTGTAATGAATGACTGTGTTTAATTACACACCGATGAAGAGAATCTGATGAGAATTCGGCATTTTCTTATAAATTTTCTATTACTTACTGTTCATATCGCTATGCCTCGTGCGCTGGGAGAAGGGTCCAGCGAGATCGCTTTTATGCCATAGTGAACGTATTATAACCAATGTTGTATTGTGCCTTTGTTGCGCCAGCGTCACCTGCGCCTGCGCTTATCCTCCGCACGTGCTGATTTTTTTTAAAAGCCCTTTTTGCTGTTGTTATTTTTTTCACCGGTACACCGAATACTGACATCATTGGCGATGCAATGGTAATAAATGAATTACATACTTGGCATTGGAACTCTCAACTTATATTTAATAGGTCATACAAATAAAGTTGATAAATAGAAGAAAATTTTATAATTACTTTTAATGTACTTAATTTACATACCTATATCGGTTTTCTAAACTTTGTTGCTTAACCAAAAATGTTGCTAGTTGTTGAGTTAGCAACAATGTTGGATAATATCTCAACAAGTTTTGCATATGATTTTATAAAGTACCTACACGTTGGAACATAAGTATTTTAATAGAATTAGAGTAGGTATGATTTAAAACAAAAAAACTACAAAAATGTTAGCTTTATTAAAATGTAAGTAAAACGATTGAGGGTTGGAGGATAAAATAATATTAGAAACTTTAACGAATAGAATATAACGAAATCTTGAGGTGTTTTTATTTATTTCGTATGCTTAATCTTAAAAATTATCTAGACTATCGACAAATACCGTGAAATTTTGTTCCAATATCGGTAATTTAAAGGTAAAATTTTGAAATACCTTCTTTTATGAGTAATTATGATTTGTATCCGACCGCTCGCTCACTGAGGGAGGTAACAATTACCTACACTCAGCTATATAAGCGATGAATTGAGGTGAGCTAGCTAGTATTCATTCACACTTCGAAGTGCATAATTGGGTATTTCTGGACCGGGAAAATGGTGTGTGTGCAGTATTGCGCATTGGATCCTTGGTGAGACCTTTGAAGAAAGTGTTGATGCTCATAATGGTAGATGGTGTCATTAACAGGTAATTTAATTAAACATTTGCTCCCCTTAGAGCAATTATCTCTGAGGGTTCTGATATTGTAGCCACACCCACATGTTGATGTAGGCTGTCACGTATTTTTCTTTTTCTTTTAAACTTTAAGTACTTATATATTCTTGTCAAAATTATGTAGATACTTACTTTTAATACTACATCATGAGGTGACGAAAGATGTCGAAATTAATTGGAAAAATGGCGTCAGTCGCCATCTTAATTTTTATACTAGAATAGCAATATTATAACATGCCTTTTTGTCCGCAGCTATATTGCAAATGGGACCCGTGGAACGCGAAGAACTGGAGGAGCCCATACAACCCATGGCACTCGTTGAACCCATGGTAGTTAGAGAACCTGTAGTAGTTATGGAAGCTGTGGATCCCATGGGACCGGTGGTGCTAGTAGAACCTGTAGAACCTATGGAATTCATGGCTGAAGCCGTAGCAGCAATGGTGAACAACAATAATGATAGAATGGTAATAATTGAAAGTAGTAAGGTTTTTTATTATTAACGGTGAAACGGTGTGTATACTTAGGATTCGACGATTGAATACTAGGAAAATTCACCACTTTTCTGTGTCCATTCACTCCTCAAATTCTACTCACCCCGTTATAGGTACGGTACATACCTACTTAGAAAAATAATCTTGATCTTCTACCTCCAAACACAGTTGATTTATTAATAAGCAAGCCACCATTTTACTCCTGCATATCGTGCAATGAAGGTACTCAAGAATATGTCAATATTATTTCCAGATGCCTATCGGTTCCGGCAGAACGTTGGTGCCACAAAGAAAGTTCAGGAAAGTTAAGTGGACCTCGTACACTGTAGCAACCCGCACGCTGCTGGTGGCGGTGTTCCCAAGGCGGTGAGTAAAAAATAGTTTTTTTAATATGGTCTGTAGGATTTTGCTTTACACATGGGTTATTTCAGTGAAGTCGACAGTTACTTTAATATGTAATTATTTTAATGAAATTATGATGCAATACTTTTACGGACTTGAGGATTTTCGAAAAAAAATCACACATTAACTCTGTAGATTGAGGGTAGGGGAAAATTAATTTGTATGAAGTTGATTTTTTATTTTTATTAATTTATTGTCTTACCCGGTTTCCTGAATGTCGTGGTGGCCCGGAGGTTGAGGAGCCCGCTTCTCATGCATGAGGGTGTGGTCGAACCCTGGCAAGTACCAATGTGGCTTTTTCCGAGTTATATGTACTTTCTGGGATTATTTAGACACCACTGATATACGGTGAAGGTAAACATCGTGAGGAAACCTGGACTTATAATTTATAATTTTATTATAAGTTTGAAATCGCCAACCCGCATTGAGCAAGCGTGGTGATTAATGCTCAAACCTTCTCCGTGTGAGAAGAGGCCTTTGCTCATCAGTGGGCACTTATAGGCTGATGATGATGATGATGATGATGACCCGGTTTCCTAAAGGCCGAACAATGTTAAAATCGATTTAATCTCTTGTCAAGTTATCTAATTGGTCGATTGAATTATCAACAACCAATCCAAGATGACTTGACAAGAGATTTAACAGTAGATTAGTTAATTTTAGCATTGACAAGCCTTTCAGAAACCGGGTGTTAATGTTCTATGTGGTTCTATGCCACACGCCTTCTGATCTTGATAATCTGCTTCTTTTTCATCTAAAATCTATTATTGTGTGGCGCTGATTTTATTTTGAATCAATTATTATTCTTCATTGTTATTTATCATTACATACATACCAGTAACAAGATCGGCGATTGCATCAATCTATTAAAAAAGTATTCTTATCTAATATCTATGTGCATATTTATGCATTTTATGCAGCTAGTGAACCCCCAGTAATATCTTTTATGAGCCACCGCTGCTCGAGGTTGGGTTGGCTCATTTCCTTTTGATTTACTTTGGCATTGACTAGTCGGTCGCAGCGTATCCTCCTAGATTTACTTACATTAATCATACTTCAATATCTTGTTTGTACAAATACCTACAAAATCTAATGTGTTTTTTCACAGAGTCCTGGCAACGCATTCTCTAAGCGGCAAAAAGTCCCCGGCTTTCTTAAACAAACCTCCTAAAGACTGTCTAAATGAACAAATTGTTGACGACGTCATATTAGAAGTACTATCACGATTTAAAGTTACGAAAAGTATGGTCAGGTGGGTTGCTACTTCAATATTTTATTATTAAGTAGTTAATATTATTAAAATTACAAAACCTCTGCTAGAAGATTGAGTACCTACAAATCTTGCCAGGGATGTGAATTAACGGCGCGTTTTTAAGTAGATAAATACCTAAGAAGGCATACGTTATTCACGAATGGGTTGTGAAAACTTACCTAAATTTCAAGAAACATATTTTGAAACGTCTATAATAGTGTTATTGTGACATCATAATTTTTTGCTTACATACTTGATTAAGAACTTAGAAAAGTTTTCTATAGATTCATTTTTTAAACAGTGATAACGTCGTAATATTCTCAAGGAAGACTCAATGAATGATAGTAAACAAATAACGGATCATCCACTGTGGAACAGTTTTGAAAATTGGATATATTTTCTTTGCAGGAAAGTGATCACAACTAAGTGTGCTGACGAGTGCAAAATGCTCAGAACGAGGGCGAAAAGGAGGCCTGTAAATGATGAAAACATTCCTCCGTAGTGATGTACTTCAGGGCGTCGTCAACGACAATATGAGAGGTTGTAAGGGACAATGCCACGACAGTCTTTGGCAAAGACTACTATAGTATACTGGCCGGTCTTCGGTCTCCGACCTGGTGGACTGTTAATCAATTATTTGTCAGGTAATTTCTTTATACCATTATTTTGGGCAACTTCTTGCATTTTGTTGTATTGTATTTTGTAAATAATTATTATATAATTATCTATGGAAATTGATGATTATATTTTTGTGTAATAAAATCTTCATTACATTTTATCTTTTAAAGGGTTCGTGCGACATATTTTTTGACCGAAGAGAGACCAGCCTGCCTAAAGAAACCTTTCACAGCCGGGGTTAACGAATAATGACATCATTATTTTAGTACCTAGGTACTATCTGTAAATTGAGTTTAAATAAATATTATTATATTGTATTATCGAAATAATTTGTTTTATTTCTTATAGTGTTAACTCGTTACGTCCTATAGTGGGCAGTGTATCGAGAAATAATGTAAGTAGCTGTAGTGATAAAAATGCCTGTATTCGTATAAATTATTAGTTTTTCTTCTCCTCGACATCACTGCAAAAGTTGTGGCCTCTAATGAGGTTCTTCAACATAAGAGATGGAAAGAGAGCGCTGCTGTCCCACGGTATCGTTAAATGTTCAGTCACAAAGATTGATCTTGAGAGACACCACGAAGTTTTAGGATAACGACTACTGCCACCATACGGCACTATATCTTTAGGAGCGAGCTTCCTCTCAGTTCGAACAAAATCCACTGTGTATCTTGTTGCGCTAGTAGCGTTGCACCAAATAGATTCCAGATACTCTTGGCAAGTACCGACTAAGAGATTATAAAAAACAAAACACAAAAGGGGGGTTTTGTGTTTTGTTTCCACCCCAATCCCTTAATCTCCAAAACCCTAATCCCTAAGAGGTCGGCAACGCAATCGTAACTCCTCCGTTGCGGGTGTCCATGGGCGGCGCTGATTGCTTACCATCAGGTAATCCGTCTGCTCGTTTGCCGGTCTATTACATAAAAAAACAAACATTAGGTTCACTCCATGTCGAGGAGTTTGCATCTCTGCTATAATATGAGTTGCTTAGTTAGATATCCTTCTGAGAGTTCACTGTAGGTATATTATGCGTAATGGTACGTATTTTTTTGCCCCACATTAGGATTTTCTCCTGTGTGGTGGGTGCGGTTACAAACATACAATTTCACATACACATGACACCCAGACCCGGAACAACCATTTGTGGATCACACAAAGAGTTGTTCCGTGCGGGAATCGAACCTGCGACACGTTGCACGGCAGCCAGTTGGCCAGCCACCGCACCAACCGTGCAGTCGAAATTATGGTACCTATAAATACTATTCATGCGTAGTCCAAGGTAAAATCATATACAGCCAATTTCAGTCTAGCCTTCTATGTTGGTCGAGCTCCAGACGCATAAAAATGGTGAAATTTAAATCTACAATAATTGGAACGAGCACCTACTTCATTGACGAACAGACTGACAGACTACTATGTATTCAATTTTGACGTTTGAAAAGTACCTATTGGACTAAATGATCTGGTGTTTGAGATTGAATGTTCTTAGACGCTCTGCCGATTTGGTTAATGATAAAATTGAAAGGGAGCTGATGGCATCTACAAGTAAACATTCAGTTCATTCATTTCAGTTTATCTGTCTATTTCTTCTGATGACCAGGGTAGGTGTTTACCAAGTTAGAAGTGTGTTATTATTAAATTACCTAACTATTTACTTCATAAAAAGCAGTCGAACCTTTAATAATAAAAATCAACTATAAGTTATCCATTCACATACCTCTTTTAAACCACCTCGATAGGACAATAGTATTGTAAGATGATCTGATCTGAGTTAAGAAATAATAAATGTGTGTAATATAGATTCATAGATTTATTTATCTACATACATTTGTACCATTATCGCCTATAAGTGCCCACTGCTGAGCAAAGGCCTCTTCTCACACGGAAAAGGTTTGTGCATACAATTAGAATTAGAATCACCACGCTTGCTCAAGGCGAATTGGCGATTTAAACTTAGATATAATAATTAGAAGGTTTGTAACCTAGTCCAGGTTTCCTCACGATGTTTTCCTTCACCGTATGTCACTGTACCAATGCAATGATACACCTTTATACATAAGTTAAAACACATCAAACAGATACTTACATTGCCAAGCCAGATTGTATGTAGGTACCTAATTTGCCAATTATTCCGTTCGCTAATCAAGTGCCATAGTAATCCCATTTGTGGCGTTCATCGAAATGATAGATGCGGCAATACGTGTCTACATATTAAGAGTTTCTGGTCTACACGAGTCTTATTTGCATAAGCTTTTATTGATCTTTACATTTAGGCGGCGGACTAGATATCGCAGATTATATGAATCAGGTTTATCAGAAAGTGCTGCCTGATCTCTGTAAGATGTGTAGGTAAGTCAGTCCCGCGTATACCGCCGAAGTGATGCTGGTGACAGTAAGTAAAAGACATCATCGCTATATCGTTTTAACATGACAAATCTCTATAAAAGACACCTACTGAAATAGTCGTAGAATTAAATAATAAATCATTTTATTATGTGTTACTCAAAAATATACTTGAAATACAATACAATTTCAAAAGTGTTAACAAAAATTATGAATATAAATACTGTACTTTTTACATTCAAATCTCAAAAAATCAAAATTCCTTGTAGCGCGCATGCGTAATTGTGATACGTGAAGTTGGAACCATTCGCTACCAACATACAGTTAAAAATGGGCGGGTAGTTTTATTGATCGAACGACTACCCCGTCGAGGGGTGAAACTGCCGGCTTCGCACAATTTCGACCACTGCCAAAACATAAATGTTATTGTGCTATTTTTGTGTATAAAGTGACTTAGAAATATGGTAAGTTTGTACTATTTGTTTGTTTGTCTCATAATTGTTTATTTACTTGTACCATAAGGCTTGTAATTTATATATAACATGTGTTATGTGTGTAATTGTTGACATACGATTGTGTAAATTCATACGATGATCTTGGTAGGCAGTACGGTGCCTAAAGCCAATATATATATTCGTACATACTTACTTGAATTTAGTTTATAGAATTCAATTAAAACAAAAATATAATAATAAAGTGCCAGATCCATTGTGACCCTTATGTGCACGCGTTGTTGATCAATGTTTTCTAGTTTGTATTTAGTATAAAATGGTAGGCCTTCAGTTTTCGGAAAAGGAAAGCCTGTGCCTGAATTATGAATATTATAATATGAAAACTTAAGAAACTAGTAGTCTTGCCTTTAATTTACTGTGAGATGACAGATGTAGTGAACTGGCCCACCTGTTTCCTTTATGAGTTAGGGCGGCAAACGAGTCAACTTATGTTGAGTCAATGGGTACCCTCCATGAACACTTTGCATTACTGGTCTTGGGGGTTCAGAGATTTGAGGATTGAGGGATTTGAAGGTTGGGGATGAGGGCCTCCGTGTATTAGGAGTACCTAATAGACAAAGCAATTCTAAACCCTGATGGCTTTTAAAAAAAATATATTTGTCATTCGATTTCCAGGATCCAAATGCTATGACCACGTCTGGGTTGCTCGAGTGGGAGTTTTCCCTGCCATCAGATCAGATAATATCTCACGGCTGGTACCACGGAGCGCTGAGTAGAACAGCCGCGGAGAATTTGTTGCAACAGGACCGGGAATTCCTCGTGAGGGATTCATCATCACAACCTGACAACTACGTGCTCAGCTGTAGGTCGAATGGACAACATCTGCACTTCGTTATACAACGGGTACATAATTATGAAACTTATAAGTAACTTGCAGCGATAGTTTAGATAATGTAACTAGGCACTTACATAAAAATGCCTTTTTCAGATCGTCGTCCACCCAGACACGGTTTACGAAAGACACCAGTACCAATTTGAAGATGAAGCTTACGACACAGTCGCAGATCTCATCACCTCGTACGTGGGATCAGGAAAACCGATATCAGCCGCTTCTGGTGCCAGAATCCAGTATCCCGCCAACCGAGTCTCGCCCTTGACGAATTATATTCAGAACGATGATATCAGCTCAGTCGTCTCTCCAGTCACAGACAGCTCATACGGGAACCCCTATAGTCTGTACAGTCACTTTGCAGCGAAGCCAGGGATGCAGCTGAGAGTGCCTTTCAAGAAGCAACGATCTCATTCTCTAACGCCCATAGATATGGGGCAGCATGTCACGCATGGCAAAAGTGCTAGCGCTGATGGAGTGATTCAAAGTCAGACGAGCATGGTTGGCAAAAACTTCTGTGAATCAAATTCCAGTTCAAGTACATGGGATGCCAATCTTCCTACCAGTCCTCCAGCCAAGCCCGCCAGATACGACGGCCCAAAAGCAGATGACAGAAGATTAGAACTTCAACGACTGTATCAGGTTTCAGGCTCCGATTCAGGCAATGGGTCTGGAGACTCAACGCAGAGCTCAGCGCACAGTGATCCAAATAAATCCAGGATGGAATCTGATTATCATCTTGTAACACCAACAATAAAACAACAGTTTGATTATGAACTTACAGAAGCAAAACTGTTACAGTCTGAAAATTTGGATTACGTGGTGGATTCAAGAATAAATCTAGAAAACTTCCAATCACAGATTATACCGACAGGCCTTACGAAACCACTTGAATCTGAGACACTGCATACGATCAAATTGTTACTGCGGACTTCAGGACCGCGGATTTTGGCAAATCACATGACAAAGGTCGATTTATACTTTTTGTTCGACGACACCATTCAAATTGAAGGACTTGACAGGACAGCATCGGGATTGGAACTCTTGTTTTTGCCTCAGGGGCGACCTCTGCGTTTGGATATAATTGAGAGGTATCAAATATTTATGTCTACAGTCATTACACTAGAGATAATTAATAATGAGACAAATTAATGCCACACCTATTTTTTCAGGATTGAAACTTTCCGCCTGCTTATAGCTGTAACGATACTGACCTGCCAAACGGACAGACAGCGCGCTGACACTATCAATGACTGGATTTTACTTGCTATTGAAACAAAAACTGCTTTGGGGAATCTTTATGGATTTTCTGCTATTATGTTTGGCTTGTGTATGCCACAGGTACATCCCTAAACATATTTTACTAAGTCACTCCGAAAGCTACTTGTTATCTAATAAATATTTTTTCTTTCGGTTGCAGGTGGAGTGTCTAGAGAATGCCTGGAATATTTTAAGAAGGGTTTATACTGACAACGCTTTTATGTTCGAAGCTAAACTAAGGCCTTGCTTCAAGAGCATGAACGAGGGAACAAATCCTTTGCCACCAAACACAACGACACCCTATGTCCTTCCTCCAGTGTTGAGCTTCCATATTTTTGGTAAGTGTAGTGTTCCAAACTACAAAACGTAACTTTGCGCTTCGCCAATGTACAATATAGTAGGTTTTCTAAGGTAATGTAACGTAAGACAGAAATCCAGAGCCCCTAAGATGGAATCTAAAAAATATGTAACTGGTAGGTTACAATATTTCACATGCAACAACTTTATAAAATCACGCCATTTTAGTTCAATTTTAAGAACTAGGCAATGCTACCAGGTTCAAAATATTTTGTTTAACCAGCAAAACAATGTCCTTTATAGATGGTGAGGGAGGAGGGCTGATACAGCCAGACGACACGTTCCCCAGCAGCTTGATGAACAGCCTGGAGTTTGACTTCAACGCGACAGCTGCTCACTTGGACGCGGCCAGACACTTCCCCAACCAAATAGACATGTTCAAGCGCAACGCAAGGACTGTTGTTCAGGAGATGTCTTCTTTAGGGCCAGTATTAGACCCCACTCTTCTTGAACTCTTCAGAACAGAGTTCCACATCAACTTCCTATGGGGCGAGAGAGGAGCACTCACCACACCAAACCAGAGATTCGCCCGCCTCACCGACATATTAACAGCAATGGCAAATAAATTAGCCAGCCAACCACCAGATTCCGATGACGCCGTGTAGTTTTAGCAAGTAGCATATCAAGTAAACGCCATTTTGTAATAATTTGTATATTGAGTAAGCGATTGCATTAAAACTAAGACATGACAATGCGAAATCTTTTTTACTTATTCAATTTACTTTGTCGGCTCGCGTGTTCATCTACATCCCAACCCTGAATCATTCCATTTTAGTACTTATTTTATTTTTCTGTATCCTCTGGGTGATTTTTCAAGTTTCAACGTCAAGCAGAAATCTGTAATCTGATTTAGCCTTATATTTATATCTAGTCAGTAGTTAAGAATTAATTGATCTCCACATAATAATGTGCTGTATGTAGGTACTTATAATATTTGTTATACATTTGTAAAACGTGGATATTATACTGAGTAATATATGGATGTAGTTTGTTTTATTTCTGGATAATAGTGTAAGACATTATTTACTATTTTATTGTTATATGTCCGTATGAGATAATCGGCGATAAAATAAATAAAAGTTTTTACATTACTTGAACGTATTTATTTTAAGTGTGCAGCTAGGAACGGTACTTTAGAATGAGTGGGTGATTAGCGTCCCAAATTGAGATATTCCAAAATCTTTGGCTGTCTGTCTGTATATTCCTTGTAGAAACAAAAACTACTTGACAGGTTTTAACGAAACTTGGTACAATTATTCTTTATATTCCTGAGCAGGTTATAGGATACTTTTCATCACGCTACAATTAATAGGAGCAGAGCAGTAAAGGGAAATGTTAGGAAAAAGTTACCTACTCCGTTTTTTTAGCTACCGTCTCGTGTGCAGCCTTAATAGTTAAAGTTATATAGAAATCATGTATCAAGGGAATGTTTTTCATAAAATTATCTACAAAATATCCCGCGACAGTATATGTCTATCATTTATGGTTGACTTACAACAACACATGTAACTCCTGATAGCTTAGCAGTTCGGAGCATTCTGATTATAGTTGTTTACTCTTTACGTTTGTAATATTCTCACTTATCCCTAATTAAAACAGTTTACATTAGTGTCTATTTAATAAAAAAAGAATTATCTATTTAGGTATGAAGTTTATGGTAAAACATGGATCTGTCGACGCATTTTAGTGCTTTAGCTTAATGTTGTCTCGTCCCTACAATAAATAAGGTCCAGTGTCAGTGATCAAATAATTCAAACAACATTTTGGAATAAATCTAATTTTTTACTCATGAAAACATATAAAATATAGCCTAAAATTACATACAAAACTATTTCGTAATAAAAACTGTAATTAGTACTTTGATAAAGTAAATTCGCTAAAACCATTGATTACCCCTTTAAATTATGAAATGCATGCAGATAAGATATAATTTAAAGATTGCCGGATAAAACAGACGAAACTAAAACAGCCTTACGGTAAAACAATCCCTAGAGATCAAAATTCCATTACATATTACAATCCATTATAATAAATAAGGTTAAAATCCGTTACATGACTTGCTTACAAGATTATGCTGCACATGACTCAAATATAAACATTTAAAAGTAAATTAGTTTTATTATTGTCCATTTTGTGTCTAATTCGCTATAAAAATACACCGATAAAAATATTCAAACCTTGCAAAAGCACTTTGGATTTCAATCACTTTTAATCTTCGTATAAGCTATTTTGATTGGTCAACATTATAAATTAATATTAGGGTCCGTTCACACAGACCGGCTCGGAGAGGAGAGCAGATTCTTATCACGATGAAAACAGAGTTTTTAGTATGTGTATTAAGGTTTATTTTTTTATGTGCACAGCTTTTGTCATTAAGAATGCTTGAAGGCGCTTGGTGTGAAATAATAAGAGGAGCTGACCGGCTCCGATCGCGTACTTTTTCTCGATCGTGCAGCCGTTTGGCTCCGATTGCATGCTCTTTAATGCTCGCGCAGCCGATCGGTTCCGATCGCGTGCTCTTTCTCGCTCGCGCAGCCGATCGGCTCCGATTGCGTGCTCTTTCTCGCTCGCGCAGCCGATCGGTTCCGATTGCGTGCCCGTCGCACCACGCCGACTGCCATTTTGCTTTCAACAAGCAAGCGACAGCCGGCTTTCGCGCCCCTATTGTATTTCTATCGTGTCTCGAATCACTTGTGTTCGAAGTTTTCAAACGGAACAGTTGTATGCACTTGTAGGAAAACATGACTGACGAAAAATTAATAATACTAGTGTCAAAATATGAGTGTTTATTTGACATAACCAAGCCATCGTATAGCGATCGGGTAATGAAAGACAATGCGTGGGAGGAAATAAGCAAATGTGTGGGGTTAAGTGGTAAGTACCTACTAAGATTTTATTGTTTTACACCTATCTCCAGATATTCGAACGAATTCTAAAGTAAGGGCTTCTTAATTTGCCGTAACTTGTTAAATTCAAAGTCAAAACAGGAATAACATGAGTTTAAATGTACCCTCACTTTACTCGTAAAAATCGTTTGAGTATCTGAACGTTACAATATACCTACTCAAGAAGTAGCGAACAATTTTTATTAAATATAACTTAAGAAACTCGAGTGGCCACTTGATCTTGCCAATCTAAAGCACCACTTGCTGAAAAATAATCCTTAAATTTATTTCTTATGGTTATACCTGCGTCGATATTAGAACTATTTTCATCATTATTGTCTGTTATCGCTGTTAATAAATTCATATTGCTGTGAAGAACATTCTCTTGTCCTGGTGATGGCGTCCGATTTTCTATTAAAAAATTATGTAAACATGTAGTTGCTAATATAATTAAGTCACAGTACTTCGGTTGGATTTTCATTCGTTTTTGATAAATCTCAAATCTTTGAGTTAGCATTCCAAATGCACATTCTACGACTTTTCTTGCTCTGCTTAAACGCAGATTAAATACTTTTTTTGATAAGTCTGTTCTTGTTTGTTCTCTCGGATACGGCCGCAATATGTTATTGCTCAAAGGGAATGCTTCATCTCCTATGAAAACATGTGGTAAGCTTTCAGTGGTATTCGGTAGAGGTTTATTTGGGGGCAGCTTTAACTTATTAGTGTTCAGTTTTTTTCCAAATTTTGAATTTTGTAAAATTCCACCGTCGCTATTTTTACCATACGATCCGACATCAACAATTAAAAAGTTGTATTTCGCGTCTACCACAGCTAGTAACACTGTACTGAAAAAATTTTTATAATTATAGTATAAGCTTCCACTATTATCTGGTGCCTGTATACTGACGTGCTTTCCGTCTATAGCGCCCAAACAGTTAGGAAAATTCCAAATATTAAAGAAATCACGAGAGACCTTGTCCCACATTTCTTCATCTGGTATCTGCATAACTAAGGGCATCAAAACATCACAAATTGCTCTGATTGTCTCGTGAATTATTGAATGAACTGTAGAAATTCCCATTCGGAAATTAAATGACAAGTTTTTGAAACTGCAACCAGTAATGAGGAATCTGTAAAAACAAACAAAAAATCTAAATATAACATTGCCGCGCCAAAACGAAGTATAAATTAAAGAAAACAGTCCACTGACTGCATGCTCATTTACCCGATGAACTAAAGGAGGGTGATGTTTTTAATTTATTTATTTCTATTTTTTCCAGTTAGGCAGTGCATGGATCGTTGGAAGAAACTGCGAGATAACTTCAGAAAAGCTTATCATAACCGAAAAGGGAAGAGTGGCGATGGTGCGACATCATCCAAATTAATAAAATTTGAAAAAGAACTTTCGTTTATAATACCGTTTTTTCGTAATCGGAACCAAATATCTAATGTTACATTATCATCGGATGAATCGGAACCTGGCACACCACTACCACCAGCATCGACATCATCTAAACGTTCTGACCATTCCGAAGTTGAATCGCTTGCAAGTACTTCCGACTCGAAAAAGAGAACACGCTTAAACAAAGATGTTGCTACGGTTTTCGAAGAATATCTTGAAGAAAAAAAAAATACTAAACCCTTTGACAAGGCATTACGCAATTTTTTTTTGTCTATGTCAGATACAGTGGAAACGTTTCCAAAAGAAGTTCAAGCACGAATTAAAAAGCGCGTTTTTGACATTGTTAACGAAGCTGAATTGAGTCTGTATGAAAATAGTGCAGATTTGAATTATTCTTTGCCAATAAATTCTCCGCCATCCTCTAATCCATCTACTTACCATCAGTTATCAAACGAAACCTATATTTGTCAAAACTATCCAGATCAGACTACTTACGGGTACAGTACAAACACACAAAATACAAAATAATTAATAAACACAGACAATCAAAATAATGAAAGTCAAATCTGCACTATTTAATTACATTCAGCCATTCAATTAGGTGTAATCTTTAACTTTAACCATTTAATTTTAAGCAATGTTTAGTTTAATAACTGTTTCTTTTACTGTCTAATATTTGATATTTCAATCAATCAGGACAATAACGGCAACATACGTTAACAAAGCTTCGGCTGTGATCTTGTGACCTGAATAAGATGATTATTATAAATGATTGTTTTTTATTTACTTACCTTAAAGTTACCGTTAATCTTTCTTCGGCTGGAATGGTGCAACGATAATTTGTAGTCGTTTTTGTTATATGTACTCTTAACAAATCTGTCAATTTTAAAAATTGCCAATATTCCATACGATAATACTCATAAAATTTAAGGCTGTCATTCTTCAATTCCTCGAAAATGGTGTGAAACTCCCCATGGATTAATCGATTCTTCCAAATATTTTTTGCCCATATTTGTCTTCGCTTGCGCTTTCGTTTGTTTTGTTCAGCTTCAAACAATCTTGCTAGCAAATATATTTCTTCATCGGAGCTATCTAAATCCATGTTCCGAAAAGCACACGTTAACACCGAAAACAAAACTTGGACTGCGTGGAATACTGGTACTGCCTTTGCAGTGTATCCACCCGGCTCCGAGCGCATCCGACCGGCTCCGAGCGCATCCGACCGGCTGCGAGCGCATCCGACCGGCTGCGAGCGTATCCGACCGGCTGCGAGCACATCCGATCGGCTCCGAGCGCATCCGCTTTCAGGCCGATTCTA